TGCATGTTAACCCTTTATCAGGACTTATAGGCCTATGATGCTTCATGAACCCTTTATAAGGCCTTTATGGATGCTTCATGAACCCTTTATAAGGCCTTTATGGAAGGTTCATAAATCAGTTCTAAGCCCATTTCATGCATGGACCTAGATGTCTATAGAAAGCCCTACCAGAGTCTGCAGTGTGTAGCATCAGCCAGCGTATAGCCACGTTACAGTCCCGTAAACAGTTGAGCAGCTTGGGGATGTTATCCAGGACTATCTCCTCCCTCAGGAACCCTTCCTTAAGCAGCTGCTGGATCTGGGGCCTCAGGCCATCCATACTGACTGAATAACGACTGGCCTAGTGGAGAGAAGAGGAGGGTTAACGTCTGGTTAGTTATAGGGTGTTATAACATACTAGACCTAGGGCCTCAGGCCATCCATACTGACTGAATAACGACTGGCCTAAAGGAGAGGAGGGTTAACGTCTGGTTAGTTATAGGGTGTTATAACATAAGCAGTCCTTTAACCTTCCACATTTTCGGGACGACTGCGGTAGGATATGACGGGACGACTGCGGTAGGATATGACGGGACGACTGCGGTAGGATATGACGGGACGACTGCGGTAGGATATGACGGGACGACTGCGGTAGGATATGACGGGACGACTGCGGTAGGATATGACGGGACGACTGCGGTAGGATATGACGGGACGACTGCGGCAGGATATGACGGGACGACTGCTGCAGGATATGACGGGACGACTGCGGTAGGATATGACGGGACGACTGCGGTAGGATATGACGGGACGACTGCGTTTTTTTATTTATTTTTTATTTATTTTTATTTTATTTATTTTTTTGCTCTACCGGGAGAGGTCGGGAGAGGTCGTGTTTTTCTCTAGCTCTCTAGCTGGAGGTAAGCAAACTTCTCATTTGGTGTTGAGTATAGCTTAACCATGTATTAGATCGTAGGTTGGTAGTTAGTTGTAGTTAGGTATTGTATTTATTATAGGTTAGTATTGTTGTTATTGTAGGTTTCCGTAGGTTATTGTAGGCTAGTATTGAAGCACGAGGCTAGCTAGCTAGCGGGTAGCTACTGGTAACGATTAGCAACGATTAGCAACGGTGGAGAGCTTCCCATATGGTGTTGAGTAAAGCTTAACCATGTATTAGATCGTAGGTTGGTAGTTAGTTGTAGTTAGGCATTGTATTTATCATAGGCTAGTTTTGTTGTTATTGTAGGTTTCCGTAGGTAATTGTAGGTTAGTATCGAAGCACGAGGCTAGCTAGCTAGCGGGTAGCTACTGGTAACGATTAGCTGTTCCCACTGTTAAATGTGCTGCTAGCCAACGTTTAATTTTTGCTGCGTTCTGCGTTATGTAAGGAACTAGACACGGACATGAATTATCTGTTTAGTGTGCTAACACACTCTTGGCAGTTTGTTGTAACCAAGTATTGGTGCTAAATTGTGTGTTAATGGATGCTAGCTTGCTAGTTAGCTACGGCGTCATAGCTAGGTATCGTGGGTAGCTACTGTGTCTTGGCAGTGTCTTCCGCCGTGCCGGCTGTAGCACGAAGCGAGCTAATTAGCCGTTTTTTTCGAACAGAGTCAGAGTCAACACAGTAGCCATTGTGTGCCGGGTGTAGCACGAAGCTAGCTAGCTAGCCGTTCTTCAAACAAAGCCAACACAGTGGCCATTGCTAGCTACCCAACACGACCAGCGAACGGTACGGTAGTAGCTAATTACAATATACTTGTCCTAGCTAGCCAACGTTGAATCATTGCTGCGTCATGAAAGGAACTTGACACAGACACGAATGATCTGTTTAGTGTGTTAACACACTATTGGTGGTTTGCTGTGACCAAGTGTTTGTGCTAAACTGTGTGTTACTGGATGCTAGCATGCTAGTTAGCTAGTTAACACACTATTGGTGGTTTGTTGTGAGTATTGGTGCTTAACTGTGTGTTAAACTGTGTGTTATTGGATGCTAGCATGCTAGTCAGCTATGGTGTCATAGTTGGCTAGCTGAATAAAGTGGGTTGAGTCTATTCCTTTAAACATTGAACAACTGTGGTTCACAACAATTCTGATTTCTAAAGGTGGAAGTTGGGAGAGTTTTTGTTCGGGTGGTTCAGTGAAACAATTTTAGTTTCTGAGGTAGAAGTTTTTGGTGAGGGAGGCCCTGCTCTCTCCGCTCCCAGATGCTTAGCTCATTTCATTCCGATCTCCTCTGCATTTTTGTAGCCATTTGCTACAGCCTGTCAACTATGCCTCTGCCTATCCCTGTTCTCTCCTCTCTGCACAGGCTACACAAACAACGCACCACACCGCGCGGCTGCTGCCTCCCTAACCTGGTGGTCCCTGCACGCACCCCTCACCTGGAGTTCCAGGTCGCAGGCAGCCTCTGGAACTGCCGTTCTGCTGCCAACAAAGCTGACTTCATCCCAGCCTATGCCAACCTCCAGTCCCTCGACTTCCTGGCGCTGACGGAAACATGGATCACCACTGAAAACACGGCTACTCCTACTGCTCTCTCCTCGTCTGACCATGTGTTCTCGCATACCCCGAGAGCATCTGGTCAGAGGGGTGGTGGTACAGGAATCCTCATCTCTCCCAAGTGGACATTCTCAATTTTTCCCCTAACCCATCTGTCTATCTCCTCATTTGAATTCCATGCTGTCACAGTCACTAGCCCATTTAAGCTTAATATCCTTGTCATCTATCGCCCTCCAGGTTCCCTTGGAGAGTTCATCAACGAGCTTGACGCCTTGATAAGTTCCTTTCCTGAGGATGGCTCACCCCTCACAGTTTTGGGGGATTTCAACCTCCCTATGTCCACGTTTGACTCATTTCTCTCTGCCTCCTTCTTTCCACTCCTCTCCTCTTTTGACCTCACCCTCTCACCGTCCCCCCCTACTCACAAGGCAGGCAATACGCTTGACCTCATCTTCACTAGATGCTGCTCCTCTACTAATCTCACTGCAACTCCCCTCCAAGTCTCCGACCACTACTTTGTTTCCTTTTCTCTCTCGCTCTCCTCCCACACTACTCACTCTGCCCCTACACAGATGGTAATGCGCCGCCGCAACCTTCGCTCTCTCTCTCCCACTACTCTCTCCTCTTCCATCCTATCATCTCTTCCCTCTGCTCAATCCTTCTCCCTCCAATCTCCTGATTCTGCCTCCTCAACCCTCCTCTCCTCCCTTTCTGCATCCTTTGACTCTCTGTGTCCCCTATCCTCCCGGCCGGCTCGGTCCTCCCCTCCAGCTCCGTGGCTTGATGACTCACTGCGAGCTCACAGAACAAAGCTCCGGGCAGCGGAGCGGAAATGGAAGAAAACTAAACTCCCTACCGACCTGGCATCTTTTCACTCCCTCCTCTCTACATTTTCTTCATCTGTTTCTGCTGCTAAGGCCACCTTCTACCACTCTAAATTCCAAGCATCTGCCTCTAACCCTAGGAAGCTCTTTGCCACATTTTCCTCCCTCCTGAATCCTCCCCCCCTCCTCTCTCTCTGTGGATGACTTCGTCAACCACTTTGAAAAGAAGGTTGACGACATCCGATCCTCGTTTGTTAAGTCTAATGACACTGCTGGTCCTGCTCACACTGCCCTACCCTATGCTTTGACTTCTTTCTCCCCTCTCTCCCCAGATAAAATCCTGCGACTTGTGACTGCAGGCCGCCCAACAACCTGCCCGCTTGACCCCATCCCCTCCTCCCTTCTCCAGACCATCTCCGGTGACCTTCTCCCCTACCTCACCTCGCTGATCAACTCATCCTTGACCGCTGGCCATGTCCCTTCCGTCTTCAAGAGAGCGAGAGTTGCTCCCCTTCTCAAAAAACCAACACTCGACCCCACTGATGTCAACAACTACAGACCAGTATCCCTTCTTTCTTTTCTTTCCAAAACTATTGAGCGTGCCGTCTTTAGCCAACTCTCTTGCTATCTCTCTCAGAATGACCTTCTTGATCCAAACCAATCAGGTTTCAGGACTGGTCATTCAACTGAGACTGCTCTTCTCTGTGTCACGGAGACTCTCCGCACTGCTAAAGCTAACTCTCTCTCCTCTGCTCTTGTCCTTCTAGACCTGTCTGCTGCCTTTGATACTGTGAACCATCAGATCCTCCTCTCCACCCTCTCCGAGATGGGCATCTCCGGCGCGGCTCACTCCTGGATTGCGTCCTACCTGACCGGTCGCTCCTACCAAGTGGCGTGGCGGGAAGCTGTCTCCGCACCACGTGCTCTCACCACTGGTGTCCCCCAGGGATCGGTTCTGGGCCCTCTCCTTTTCTCCCTATACACCAAGTCACTTGGCTCTGTCATATCCTCACATGGTCTCTCCTATCATTGCTACGCTGACGATACACAACTAATCTTCTCCTTTCCCCCTTCTGATAACCAGGTGGCGAATCGCATCTCTGCATGTCTGGCAGACATATCAGTATGGATGACGGATCACCACCTCAAGCTGAACCCTGGCAAGACGGAGCTGCTCTTCCTCCCGGGGAAGGACTGCCCGTTCCATGATCTCGCCATCACGGTTGACAACTCCGCTGTGTCCTCCTCCCAGAGTGCGAAGAGCCTAGGCGTGACCCTGGACAACACCCTGTCGTTCTCCGCCAACATCAAGGCGGTGACCCGCTCCTGCAGGTTCATGCTCTACAACATTCGGAGAGTGCGACCCTGCCTTACACAGGAAGCGGCGCAGGTCCTGGTCCAGGCACTTGTCATCTCCCGTCTGGACTACTGCAACTCGCTGTTGGCTGGGCTCCCTGCCTGTGCCATTAAACCCCTACAACTCATCCAGAATGCCGCAGCCCGTCTGGTGTTCAACCTTCCCAAGTTCTCTCACGTCACCCCCCTCCTCCGCACACTCCACTGGCTTCCAGTTGAAGCTCGCATCCGCTACAAGACCATGGTGCTTGCCTATGGAGCAGTGAGGGGAACGGCACCTCTGTACCTTCAGGCTCTGATCAGTCCCTACACCCAAACGAGGACATTGCGTTCATCCACCTCTGGCCTGCTGGCTCCCCTTCCTCTGCGGAAGCATAGCTCCCGCTCAGCCCAGTCAAAACTGTTCGCTGCTCTGGCACCCCAATGGTGGAACAAGCTCCCTCACGACGCCAGGACAGCGGAGTCACTCACCACCTTCCGGAGACATTTGAAACCCCACCTCTTTAAGGAATACCTGGGATAGGATAAAGTATTCCTTCTAACCCCCCCCCCCCCCCAAATTGTAAAGTGGTTATCCCACTGGCTATAGGGTGAACGCACCAATTTGTGAGTCGCTCTGGCTAAGAGCGTCTGCTAAATGACGTTAATGTGCCCTTGAGCAAGGCACTTAACCCTAATTGCTCCTGTAAGTCGCTCTGGTTAAGAGCGTCTGCTAAATGACTAAAATGTAAAAATGTAATGACGGGACGACTGCGGTAGGATATGACGGGACGACTGCGGTAGGATATGACGGGACGACTGCGGTAGGATATGACGGGACGACTGCGGTAGGATATGACGGGACGACTGCGGTAGGATATGACGGGACGACTGCGGTAGGATATGACGGGACGACTGCCGGGACAGGATATGACGGGACGACTGCGGCAGGATATGACGGGACGACTGCGGCAGGATATGACGGGACGACTGCGGCAGGATATGACGGGACGACTGCGGCAGGATATGACGGGACGACTGCGGCAGGATATGACGGGACGACTGCGCAGGATTGACGGGGACGCTGCGGCAGGATATGACGGGACGACTGCGGTAGGATATGACGGGACGACTGCGGTAGGATATGACGGGACGACTGCGGTAGGATATGACGGGACGACTGCGGTAGGATATGACGGGACGACTGCGGTAGGATATGACGGGACGACTGCGGTAGGATATGACGGGACGACTGCGGTAGGATATGACGGGACGACTGCGGTAGGATATGACGGACGACTGCGGTAGGATATGACGGGACGACTGCGGCAGGATATGACGGGACGACTGCGGTAGGATATGACGGGACGACTGCGGTAGGATATGACGGGACGACTGCGGTAGGATATGACGGGACACTCACGTCTACAACAAGGCCTTATGGGTTAACAACTGAAAACCATTCCATGTTAGTAGCCGTTCTGTAGGTAAGCCTGTTAGCCTCCATACCTGCTCTCTGATGTTGGCTGAGTCCAGGGTGTAGTTGAGGGCGATCTTGGCAGCTTTATATGGTTCCCAGGCCTCCACCAGATTCACGGTGATCCCCATATATACACTGATGACCTGCAGCAGGAGAACTTGTAAATAAACTCCACTTTAAACCAGCGTAATGGCTGGAGGCCTGGTGAAATATACTGCATCAAGATATGGAAATGTATGCACTAACTAACTGTAAGTCGCTCTGGATAAGAGCGTCTGCTAAATGACTAAAATGTAAAATGTAAATATGGCTCAAGAGAAACAAGTACACTAATGTTTCCCAAGTATTCAGGGAAGTGCAGCTTAGATGTCTCTCACCCAGTTATCAGGGAAGTACTTGTCCACTATCTCCCTCATCTTGGCCTGCTGAGTGTGCAGTATGGATGGGGTGAAGTAGAGACAGACATACAGCATGGCAGCCTGGTTAGCTAACGCCGTGCTGCGGTGCTCAGGCAGGGGGTACGCAGACACCTGGGGAACACAGAGGACCGCTTTAGAGACAGGAGGACACCTGGGGAACACATAGGACCGCTTTAGAGACAGGAGGACACCTGGGGAACACATAGGACAGCTTTAGAGACAGGAGGACACCTGGGGAACACAGAGGAACCGCTTTAGGAGAACGGAGGGGACCCCTGGGGAAACACATAGGACCGCTTTAGAGGTCCTCTGTAGCTCCAGCTGGTAGAGCACGGCCGCTGTAACCGCAAGGTAGTGGGTTTCGATTCACCCGGGACCACCCATAACACAAAATGTATGCCACGCATGACTGGTAAAGTCGCTTTGGATAAAAGCGTCTGCTAAATGGCATATAATTATAATTTAATATAATTAAATTATAATAATTATATATAATTAGAGACAGGAGGACACCTGGGGAACACATAGGACCGCTTTAGAGACAGGAGGACACCTGGGGAACAATAGGACAGCTTTAGAGACAGGAGGACCCTGTGGGAAACACATAGGCCCGCTTTAGAGACAGGAGGACACCTGGGGAACACATAGGACCGCTTTAGAGACAGGAGGACACCTGGGGAACACATAGGACCGCTTTAGAGACAGGAGGACACCTGGGGAACACATAGGACCGCTTTAGAGACAGGAGGACACCTGGGGAACACATAGGACCGCTTTAGAGACAGGAGGACACCTGGGAACACATAGACCCGCTTTAGAGACAGGGGACCTGGGGAACACATAGGACAGCTTTAGAGACAGGAGGACCCTGGGAACACAGAGGACGCTTAGAGACAGGAGGACACCTGGGGAACACATAGGACCGCTTTAGAGACAGGAGGACACCTGGGGAACACATAGGACCGCTTTAGAGACAGGAGGACACCTGGGGAACACATAGGACAGCTTTAGAGACAGGAGGACACCTGGGGAACACAGAGGACCGCTTTAGAGACAGGAGGACACCTGGGGAACACATAGGACCGCTTTAGAGGTCCTTTTGTACTCAGGCTGGTAAGCACGGCGCTTTGAAACGCCAAGGTATTTTGGGGTTTCGACCCCCGGGGACCACCCATCCCCAAAAAAAATGTATGCACGCATGACTGAAGTCATTTGGGGATAAAACGTCGGCTAAATGGCTTTAAAATTAAAATTTTAAATTTAAAATTAAAATTTATAAAAATTATTAAAATTAGAGACAGGAGGACCCCGGGGGGAAACACATAGGATTTGCTTAGAGAGGGGGAGGACACCTGGGGAACAAAATAGGCAGTTTTAAGACGGGAAGGACACCTGGGGAACACATGGGCCCCCGCTTTAGGGGACAGGAGGACACCGGGGGAAACACATGGGACCGTTTTAAAGAGCAGGGGGAAAAGGGGGGGAACAATAGGCCCCGCTTTAGAGACAGGAGGACCCGGGGGAAACACAGAGGACCGCTTTAGGACAGGGGGACACCGGGGGAACAATAGGCCCGTTTAAAAGGAAAGGGGAACCTGGGGAACACATAGGACCGCTTTAGAGACAGGAGGACACCTGGGGAACACAGAGGACCGCTTTAGAGACAGGAGGACACCTGGGGAACACAGAGGACAGCTTTAGTAAGGAGGAAACATGGATCTAAGAATCAGACGATTACATGATCATAACATACAAATAGACTGAATAACCCTACAGGAATATTGAATATTGTTGCATAACTCGTTTTGCAAGCAATTTCATTCAGTTCTAGGATACTACCACCTAAATGGAGCCAATGGAGTGTTGACGTTACCAAATATGAAAACATGGCATATAAGGATGTACAGAAATGTACTAAGAGTGGGTTAGTACCTCCTTTTGAGGTAAGAAAACGAATGGTTAAAATCCAGCAAAGTATCCCTTTGAGCCTTTTTTATTTAACCTTTATTTAACTAGGCAAGTCAGTTAAGAACCAATTCTTATTTACAATGACGGCCTACACCGGCCAAACCCGGACGACGCTGCGCCGCCCTATGGGACTCCCAATCACGGCCGGTTGTGATACAGCCTGGAATCGAACCAGGGGGTCTGTAGTGACGCCTCGAGCACTGAGATGCAGTGCCTCAGACCGCTGCGCCACTCGGGAGCCCCATACATGATTGTACCACCTTACCTGGTTATAGATGTCATCAGAGCGCAGCCTGCCGATCACCATGCTGATGAAGGTGGCGCTGATAGGCACTCTCTGGAAGTAGCTCTCGGGGTAGTTAGCTGGCCGTTTGGCCCCTGACTGGCTAGAGTACCCTGTACTACGCAGCAGCTTACAGATGTCATCCAGGTTAGAGTCCGCTGAGGAGCGGGCGGCACTGGAGAGACAAACAGGACCTGTATAAGTTAAGTAAGATGTCCATTTGAACTCAAATGTTTTGTTTTCCTTCATTCAATTGTTGCTTTTTCTTTTTAGCTCCATCTGGTACTATGCGTCAGATTTCAGCCTGTGAAATGTTTTCAAATCAAATCAAATGTTATTGGTCACATGCACATATTTAGCAGACGTTATTGTGTGTGTGTGGCGAAATGCTTGTGCAAAAGTTGCTTAGGAGCTAGAAGCAGAGCTGCCATGTCTGTTGGCGTCCATCTTACCATCTTTAGTGTTACAGTATCACTGATAATATTATTGATAGAATTAAAATGGTCCCTGACAAAATAACAGAGAAGATTGATTCTTAAAAAGGGATCAAATGTATAAAGGATGCAGAAGCAACCCCCCCAAAAAGAGCAGCAAAGTGTCACCTGTATCTATAGTAGGACACCAGCATCCTCTCTCTGACCTCTCCCTCCATCTTCTGGTCGATAACCAACAGCATGACCCCATAGAGATACAGGGCTTCGCACTGGTTACAAGGACAAACAACACATCATGGCCTTCTGGACATTGTCAAACATACAGGGGATGATTTTCATAAACGTATTAAAGTCGGTCTTAGTGCTAGAAAGCTTTCAGGGAACACACGCCGGGCCCTCTACAAAATATAAGTGATTACAAGAGATTTACCAGGAGCTGTTTTCCCATCCTCATTCAGCAGGACAGTCTCCAGGGTCTGCTGGATGTACACACCTTCATACAGGTCGTCCAGGTACCTTGAGAGAAGCACGGTGGGGAAATGTTATGGTGAGACAGACAGACTACTTGACCCACCACCACACAGTAAGGCTTCAGCTCAATGAGCGAACAGACCAAATGTGTAATCCAAACAGACACATGGTTGATATGGTAAGGAGAAATTCTATATTACCTGATTAGATCAACGGTGTACTTGTGGACACTTTCAAAAGCCAGGTAGAATCGTGAGAGTATCTCTATGTTGTTCTCCCGGAACTCTTCATCCAGATCCTGAAGCTCTGGTTTGGCTTCTACCTTACTGTCATAGTACTCTGGACCCTGGAAGGCAGGGGGCGAAAAAGTTAATTATGGACGTAACATTGGACATACATTATATATCCCTGTACTTCGTCATCATGCCATAACACATTCTAAAGAATCTAGTTCATAAACGACGGATGGGCATCAAATAACTTGAAAGACCTAACCATGACACTGGCGGTGTGTCCCCATTATCTAGGAGGTGCATCACAAACGATGTCCTTTCGCTGTCATCTCATTTCACACACTCATTTAACGAGACAATCGCATCTCACCTTGAAGTAGCTGAAGTCGCAGATGATGTCTCCATATTTCTGCTGGTCGCTCTTGTCTTTGAGCCTGAAGACGGCAGGGATGAACTCCGAGAGGCGGAGGAGCTCGGCTATGATAGCGTTCCCCCGGGACACGATCCTCAGCACGGCCTGGCCACACAGGTTGTTCTCCGCCAGGAAATCCACCATGGCGGCGGTGTCGGTCTACAAGGCGTTCTGCAATTCGGGCTCTGGCCCACTTCTACACTAGTATTGTGTAAAGAGAGATACAGCTGCCACTAGCTAGACAACTTAAACCAGGAGCTAAACTGCATCTCTAAATAGTATTCATTTGTAAAACGACTTCGGTTAGTTACATGAAACAATTGTGCATATAGCTATCACCAGCTGGCTAGTTGAAGCCAGTAGCCGGAAAGATGTTTTGCAACAGTACTTACCTTTAGGGATAAAACTATAGGATAGTGTAGTTGCTAGCTAAATGTTGGCTGTTTCAAGTTTTTCAATTCAATTCCTGTTTACCATCACATGACAAACCACATGATTCACCCGCTCCCTCCCTCCAGAGTGTTTGTGGACCACTAGATGGCGACAAAGTCAAGACTAAAACCAGGGGCTTCTTCTTCTTCGTATGAATTTCCGGCCGATTAGAGACGCTGTCTTCTTCTTCGTCGTCGTCTTCGTCTTCTTCTTCTTCTTCTTCTTTGCTATTATGGCGGTCCGCAAACACATATTATAGGTGCATGCCGCCACCTACTGTATTGGCTGTGTATCAGCCTACTATTCTGTAGTATGAATTCATTACTTTGTGAAAAAATTGCCCTACCAACTAAACCTGCACCCATTAAAACCTCACCACTATTCCACTACCTTGGCCCTATCTAAACCTGCTCCAGGCCAGCAGCCTGGGAGGACGGGACACTATCGTTCAAAACACCTTGTAACTCTTCTGCAGTAAAATCTTGTACACCCAAGTACTTACGTGCAGCTGCCACCACAACATCTATCCTCTGTGATTTACCTTCAATTTCTGCGGTACAATTGACAACCGTGACCATGAACGCCAAAAAACCAACCTTATTGAAGCACATGTGATTCCTATCACTCTCTATTGGCCCCGGCCTACTCACAGGGATCCCCTCGGCCTACTCACAGGGATCCCCTCGGCCTACTCACAGGGATCCCCTCGGCCTACTCACAGGGATCCCCTCGGCCTACTCACAGGGATCCCCTCGGCCTACTCACAGGGATCCCCCCGGCCTACTCACAGGGATCCCCTCGGCCTACTCACAGGGATCCCCTCGGTCTACTCACAGGGATCCTCTCAGGATCACTCACTTCCTCTACTACTCTCTCCGCTGCCTCAGCATACGGCACCTTCTGCACTACTCTGATCCTGGCAACCTCGACCTGTCTTTCTCTCCCCGGACACCTCTGAACTCCGCACCATTGGTACCCCTACAGTTTACACACACAACTTTATTAACCGATACTACACATTCCTTTGTCTCATGTCCTCCTGCACACTTCTTACATCTAGGAATCTCCCTCCTACAGACATCTTGGAATCTCCCTCCTACAGACATCTAGGAATATCCCTCCTACAGACATCTAGGAATCTCCCTCCTACAGACATCTAGGAATCTCCCTCCTACTGACATCTAGGAATCTCCCTCCTAAAGACATCTAGGAATCTCCCTCCTACTGACATCTTGGAATCTCCCTCCTACAGACATCTAGGAATCTCCCTCCTACAGACATCTTGGAATCTCCCTCCTACAGACATCTAGGAATCTCCCTCCTACAGACATCTAGGAATCTCCCTCCTACAGACATCTAGGAATCTCCCTCCTACTGACATCTTGGAATCTCCCTCCTACAGACATCTAGGAATCTCCCTCCTACTGACATCTAGGAATCTCCCTCCTACAGACATCTTGGAATCTCCCTCCTACAGACATCTAGGAATCTCCCTCCTACAGACATCTAGGAATCTCCCTCCTACAGACATCTAGGCGCTGTGTCAGTATGGCTTGCTGCCATTCGCAGGTCGGAGTGCGGATTTGCACATTTTGGTCACAAGAAATGGGGAAGGGGAAAATCTATCCCCACCATCCAACTCTGCACCTATAGACTATCCCCACCATATAACTCTGCACCTATACACTATCCCCACCATATAACTCTGTACCTATAGACTATCCCCACCATCTAACACTGCACCTATACACTATCCCCACCATCCAACTCTGCACCTATACACTATCCCCACTATCCAACTCTGCACCTATAGACTATCCCCACCATCTAACACTGCACCTATAGACTATCCCCACCATATAACTCTGCACCTATAGACTATCCCCACCATATAACTCTGTACCTATACACTATCCCCACCATCTAACACTGCACCTATACACTATCCCCACCATCTAACACTGCACCTATACACTATCCCCACCATCCAACTCTGCACCTATACACTATCCCCACTATCCAACTCTGCACCTATAGACTATCCCCACCATCTAACACTGCACCTATAGACTATCCCCACCATATAACTCTGCACCTATAGACTATCCCCACCATATAACTCTGCACCTATAGACTATCCCCACCATCCAACTCTGCACCTATAGACTATCCCCACCATCCAACTCTGCACCTATAGACTATCCCCACCATCCAACTCTGCACCTATAGACTATCCCCACCATATAACTCTGCACCTATACACTATCCCCACCATCCAACTCTGCACCTATAGACTATCCCCACCATATAACTCTGCACCTATACACTATCCCCACCATCCAACTCTGCACCTATAGACTATCCCCACCATCCAACTCTGCACCTATAGACTATCCCCACCATCTAACCCTGCACCTATAGACTATCCCCACCATCTAACTCTGCACCTATAGACTATCCCCACCATCCAACTCTGCACCTATAGACTATCCCCACCATCTAACCCTGCACCTATAGACTATCCCCACCATCTAACTCTGCACCTATAGACTATCCCCACCATCTAACCCTGCACCTATAGACTATCCCCACCATCCAACTCTGCACCTATACACTATCCCCACCATATAACTCTGCACCTATACACTATCCCCACCATATAACTCTGCACCTATACACTATCCCCACCATATAACTCTGCACCTATACACTATCCCCACCATATAACTCTGCACCTATAGACTATCCCCACCATCCAACTCTGCACCTATAGACTATCCCCACCATCCAACTCTGCACCTATAGACTATCCCCACCATATAACTCTGCACCTATACACTATCCCCACCATCTAACACTGCACCTATAGACTATACCCACTATCTAACTCTGCACCTATACACTATCCCCACCATCTAACTCTGCACCTATAGACTATCCCCACCATCTAACACTGCACCTATAGACTATCCCCACCATCTAAGTCTGCACCTATAGACTATACCCACTATCTAACACTGCACCTATACACTATCCCCACCATCTAACTCTGCACCTATAGACTATCCCCACCATCTAACTCTGCACCTATACACTATCCCCACCATATAACTCTGCACCTATAGACTATCCCCACCATCTAACACTGCACCTATAGACTATCCCCACCATCTAACTCTGCACCTATAGACTATCCCCACTATCTAACTCTGCACCTATAGACTATCCCCACCATCCAACTCTGCACCTATACACTATCCCCACCATCTAACTCTGCACCTATAGACTATCCCCACCATCCAACTCTGCACCTATACACTATCCCCACCATCTAACACTGCACCTATAGACTATCCCCACCATCTAACACTGCACCTATAGACTATCCCCACCATCTAACTCTGCACCTATAGACTATCCCCACCATATAACTCTGCACCTATAGACTATCCCCACCATCTAACTCTGCACCTATAGACTATCCCCACCATCTAACTCTGCACCTATAGACTATCCCCACCATCTAACTCTGCACCTATAGACTATCCCCACCATATAACTCTGCACCTATAGACTATCCCCACCATCTAACTCTGCACCTATAGACTATCCCCACCATCTAACTCTGCACCTATAGACTATCCCCACCATCTAACTCTGCACCTATAGACTATCCCCACTATCTAACTCTGCACCTATAGACTATCCCCACCATCTAACTCTGCACCTATAGACTATCCCCACCATATAACTCTGCACCTATAGACTATCCCCACCATCTAACTCTGCACCTATACACTATCCCCACCATATAACTCTGCACCTATACACTATCCCCACCATATAACTCTGCACCTATAGACTATCCCTACCATATAACTCTGCACCTATAGACTATCCCCACCATATAACTCTGCACCTATAGACTATCCCCACCATCTAACTCTGCACCTATAGACTATCCCCACCATATAACTCTGCACCTATAGACTATCCCCACCATCTAACTCTGCACCTATACACTATCCCCACCATATAACTCTGCACCTATACACTATCCCCACCATCTAACTCTGCACCTATACACTATCCCCACCATCTAACTCTGCACCTATAGACTATCCCCACCATCTAACTCTGCACCTATAGACTATCCCCACTATCTAACTCTGCACCTATAGACTATCCCCACCATCTAACTCTGCACCTATAGACTATCCCCACCATATAACTCTGCACCTATAGACTATCCCCACCATCTAACCCTGCACCTATAGACTATCCCCACCATCCAACTCTGCACCTATACACTATCCCCACCATATAACTCTGCACCTATACACTATCCCCACCATATAACTCTGCACCTATACACTATCCCCACCATCTAACTCTGCACCTATACACTATCCCCACCATCTAACACTGCACCTATAGACTATCCCCACCATATAACTCTGCACCTATACACTATCCCCACCATCTAACACTGCACCTATAGACTATCCCCACCATATAACTCTGCACCTATACACTATCCCCACCATCTAACTCTGCACCTATACACTATCCCCACCATCCAACTCTGCACCTATACACTATCCCCACCATATAACTCTGCACCTATAGACTATCCCCACCATCTAACTCTGCACCTATACACTATCCCCACCATCTAACTCTGCACCTATAGACTATCCCCACCATCTAAC